GGCATGGACTGGCTGGAGGGGCGGGGCTAGCTGGGAGGGCGGGGCATGGACTGGTGTTGGAGGGCAGGGCTGGGCTAGCTGGAGGGGGCGGGGTTAGCTTGGGGGAGGGGCTAGCTGGAGGGGGCGGGGTTAGCTGGGAGGGCTGGGGTGGGGCGGCGCCGAGGGGGGGATGGAGTGGCTGGAGGGGGGCGGGGCGCCGGGCTCAATCCGTCTCCCCCAGTACCAGGTGGGGCAGCTGTTCGCAGTGGCGGAGGCCAGCAAGAACAACACGGGGGGCGGCGAGGGCATCGAGGTGGTGACCAACGAGCCCTACGAGCGCCTGGGCGAGGCCGGCCAGTACACCCACAAGATCTACCACCTGCACAGGTGAGCACGACGCGGGGGGTGCTTGGACAGCAGCATGTGGGGGGAGGGGACAGCGGGATGTGGGGAGAGGGGATAGCATGGCGGCTGGGGGGGTTGTGCTTGGGGGGCCAGGGGAGTCAGGTGCTGTCCAAGGGAGGGCTGGGGAGGTGGGAGGTGCCCCCAGGGTGGGGGTGGGGCTGGGGCTGGTGGAGTGGGGCAGAGCCAAGGCCCGTGGCTCTGAGCACCACATGCTCCCCCCACAGCAAGGTGCCCGCCTTCGTCAAGATGTTGGCGCCCGAGGGCTCCCTGGTGTTCCACGAGAAGGCCTGGAACGCCTACCCCTACTGCCGCACCGGTGAGCCCCGACCCTGACCCCACCCCGACCCCTACTGCCGCACCGGTGAGCCCCGACCCCTGACCCCACCCGACCCCTGACCCCACCCCGAACCCTACTGCCGCACTGGTGAGCCTTGACCGCTGACTCCACCGCGATCCCTGACTCCTACTGCCGCACCGGTGAGCTCCGATCCCTGACCCCACCCCGACCCCTACTGCCGCACCGGTGAGCCCTGACCCCACCGCGACCCCTGACCCCACCCCGAACCCTACTGCCGCACTGGTGAGCCTTGACCGCTGACCCCACCGCGATCCCTGACCCCTACCGCCGCACCGGTGAGCCCCTGTGATGGAGCGGGAACTGGGGCAGTGTGACTTACTGTGGTCTGTGAATGCTGACAGGGGAGTGTGGCTGGGATAGTCGGCATTGGGGGATGGGAGTCTGCCCGAGGGAGAATACCTGAGTGTGTAACATGAGAACCCAGGAAGGGGTTAGAGGCCAGGTGACACCTTTGCCTGGGAGACAGAAAAAAGGCTGTGGGAGGGGTCCCTGAAGGGAGAGTTTTTCAGGAGCTCGTTGGTGAGGTGGCTGGGAGGCAGACGGGGCTCTGACCTCCCAAGGGGGCTGTGGGGCCCGGGGACCCCAAGATGGACCTAACTGAGGGGGTCCTGTCGTCTGTGCCTGCAAGACCTGTCTTGGACTGTATTCCTGTCATCCAAATAAACCTTCTGCTTTACTGGCTGGCTGAGAGTCATGGTGAATCGCAGGAAGCCGGGGGTGCAGGGCCCTGACTCCCCAACACTCTGTGACAACTGGTGGCAGAGGTGGGATGTGCTGCATCCTGTGGACGGTGCGTCCTGCATTATGTGACTGGGGAGCAGTAAAACGAAGGGGGATTAACGAGGACCAGGCGTGCTGAAGGCTCAGAGAGGAGCAGTTTTGGGGGGCGGAGGAGCTATGCTTAACCCCTGGGAGCGTGTGACCAGCGAGAAGGACTGTTGCAGTAACAGGGTACCCCGGGGACCGCGATGAGCGATTCCAGGGGCGGAGGAGTCTGCGGCTTGACCCTGGCAGAGAGGTGGTGACCTGGAGAAGGGCTGGCACACTAGGGGTCTCCCTGGAAACCGTGGGGAGCTGAGAGCACACAGACCTGTGAGTCCACAGCAATTTGGGACCAGTGGGATGATGTAGAACCATCTCTTTACGAGGGACCTGGTGGAGCTGTGCAGGCAGAGGGGGCTGCGCAGTGGGAGGCTCACCAAAGAACAGCTCATTGCCCAGCTGGAGGAGGGAGATCGCTCAGAGGAGCTGGTCCCTGTCCCAGAGGGAAGGAGAATCTGGCTCGAGCCCAGAGGAAGCAGAAGGTCTGGTATGACCACATGGCGTGGGCCCGCGCCTTCGCCACTGGGGATTAGGTGATGGTCCTCATCCCCGTGAGGAAGAACAAACTCCAGGCCGCCTGGGAAGGGCCCTTCAAGATTATCAAGCAACTAAACGAGGTAAACTATGTGGTGGAGCTGTCGAACCGGGCACACCACCACCGGGTGTACCATGTGAATATGATGAAGCCATATTTTGACAGGGGGAATGTGGTGTTGGCCGTGTGTGGACATTGGGAGGAGCAGGGAGATGACCCTTTAGTAGATCTATTCCCTGGGACAAGAGCTGGCTTCTCCCTGGAAGCAATTCCCCTCTCTGATCGGCTAACCCCTGCCCAGCGAGCTGAGATCAGAGGGGTGCTGCATCGGTACCGACAGCTGTTTTCCAACCAGCCTGGACGCACTAATCTGACTGTCCACCGGGTGCAGACAGGATCGCACCCGCCGATAAAATGCTCCCCCTTCCGAGTCACAGGGAAAACTGCTCAGGACCTGGAAAGAGAGGTCAATGACATGCTGGCTTTGGGGGTGATCCAGCCGTCTTCCAGCCCTTGGGCCTCGCCGGTGGTGCTGGTCCCCAAAAAGGACGGGTTGATCCGGTTCTGTGTGGACTATCGGAAGCTCAATGCCATCACTGTAGCCGATGCCTACCCCATGCCCAAGCCTGACGAGCTCCTAGACAAGCTGGGGGGG